AACAACACGTGCATTGTGTATTTCTAAAATTATTTATTAATCAATTGTATTTAACTCGTTCTGCAAGTGTTTCACCAAGAAGTCCTACACTATTGGTAACACAGGTATTGTTTTTTCATACATCTCAATAACTCTTTTCCTAAAACCTGAAATAGTAAGCATTCATAAATTTTGTAACGGATGGTTTATTTCCCGCTCATTTAGTCCCTGATTAATTTAATTAATAAGACAAGACGAACAAAATATCAAAAGTGATTCTAAGATTTACCAGGGCGCCACCAGGATTATTTTCTCGGTTCCTGGAACCGGATACCAGAGCTGAGCTTAATAATCTACAAGGAGAGAGAGTGGAGGAAGGTGTTCTGAAAATGAATAAATTTTTATTTAACAAAATAACCGGTTTTTATTCAACAACAAAATTAACAACTTGTGCACTTGCACTTACTTCCAACTCACTTACAACTATCTCACTTACAACTATCTTAATACTACAACTTATGACTACTCTCCTCAACTCAACTACCACTAACTCAACCTCAACTCCACGACTCAACCACCTCGTCACCCCACAAAGAGACTAATCGTATGCAAAGGCTCGTTAACTCGGCTCACGGAAGTAGTCGACCCAGTGACTAAACGTAGACCGATTTCCTCCCGCGAGCTTACCAAAAAATGCTTAATCCCACAGTACCCTCTTATGGAGCGACTATACTGCAGTTTCTACCTTACTACCGCTGTACCCCACTTGGCGTCTATACAACGGCTTCTACGCCAGCAAAACACCTCCCAAAGAGACTAATCGTATGCGAAAGAACGCTGGTAGCATTCACACACACATAACTCACACTATCCTCACACACACACGCTGAATCTACTGTACTTTTTATTTCCGGATTTACAAAATTTAAACTCCAAAAATTTACAACGTTAATTTTCACTGAAATTTTCAGTCATTAGCTCGCAATACAAATCATAAATTATTCCACGATTAGTAAAAATTGACTCTTAAAAGTTCCGGCTTAAAACCGACGCTCCTTTTCCCTCCAAATTAAAGACGAGCGTAACTCAGCACATTAAACAAATTCTAAGAATATTCTTTATAAAATTGACTAAATTTTTCGGACGTAATCCGCACTGATAAATAGTTTTACAAAGAATTCTACCGGAATAATGATATTAAATTATTGACAAATTTCCAGGACGTGATTTCAATATATAAGACAACCCAAGTAGAAATTTGGTAATTAAATTAAATTAGATAATTAACTAAGAATTTTCTCAATATAAAAATTACTTGCCTAAGGGTTTTCTACGGGTGTATCAGTCTTATCTGCGCCGAAATTTAGTAAATTAATTCTCAATAATTAATAACACGTGGAATAATTACTTTCTGGTAATTGAGAATAACGATTAGATGATTAATAATTCACCTCGGTGTAAAAAATAAATACAGAAAATTATCCACGGCGTTAAATTTCTAAATGCGTCGCAGTTTTTCACTAAGTAAATTTCCAGTAACTAAAATTGTTTCCAAATATAATATAAATAATTTTCCATAAATAATAAAATATACATCAATAAAAAATAATAAATTAAATGGTAATTCAATCGATATAATTTATAAAAATAGTCCAGCTATTAATTTTATAAATTTACTGCGTCACAAAATTCACAAGGAATTTGCGCGATCACAATGGACGCCGTAGTTCGTAACTGCGTAGCAAGCTTGACCTTGGCTACCGACGCTTGACCAAGTTGTGAGTTGCTGATTGGAATATTTCTTGATGTTCAGAATTTAATTAAATTAAAGATTTATTAATAAAATAAATTTATTAAAGCCAATCTAGGATGTTAATGATTATTAACCAGCTGAATTAATAATTTAGATATCCACGACCTAAACCCAAGAGGTCTAGAACATTTCTCGGGCGTAAAATCCCCAGGAGGGATTGTTCTCAAAGCTAATGAATTAAATTGATCAAAATAATTAATTATTATTAAACAAATATTATTAAACAACTGAATTACCATTAATTAAATCAAAAATGAAAAGTAGTGTTATTGATGAGCCGGATATTTGGCCCCAAGGCTCATCACTACCAAAGTCCAATACCTGGTGTAAATTGGTTGAAGAAACTCTTTGGTTGCTAATGGCTTCCTTCTTGGACTCCTCGATCTTACTCAATTCAGCACTTCACTACTTCTCCCGACGCAACGCATGGCTTACCTATTTAAAGACTCCCCAAAATACCCCCTCTTACTCTCTCTCTAGGGCCGAAGATCGATGCGCCAAAATACTAGTCGAAAAAGTTATCGATCTCTGGCGACTTATCGATTAAGGGTAATTTACCCTGTTACAATTTCACCTTGTAATTCTCAGGCCGGTAAACCATTGTTACAAATTCGGTCATTTACTATTGCATGGTATTGAGTCTTAATCTTCAGTCACAAGGGATTAAACTCATCTTTCATTAATGTTTTAATGAGATATGACTCATCATATAACAATTTAGTAATCATGTAAAATCTTTGTCATACCTGGCTAAGGTGATGTCACCGATCACCAGGTATTAATATTCTATTCCTGTCTTCTTGCTCATGTGACTGCAGAACTTAAGTTCAGTTAACGTCCAAACTTCTCTCTGTACTCATCACTCGTTTTATCGCTCGTAATAATCATTGTCGCGTCATTAATATTAATTAATGTGATAATAATAATTTAATCAACTCGTATAATTTAAATAATCTTATTTAAGGGGGTATTCTGGTCTAGAAATTCGAAAAAATCGATTTTGTTTTTGCATATTTTCAAAGCTTATACCCTTAAAAATATGTCCTTAAATGGATTTTTCAAAATTCGAATTATTTTCAAAGATACAGTGGATTTTGTGACGCAGCATCTAAGCCGGCCGATCGTCGCGAATCACACAATAAACAGTGGCGATTCCCGGAAAACTTGAGCACTCGTTCTTTCCAAGAATTCTTTTGTTTTCGGCAAAAGCCTTTATATATGTTCTATATATATCTTTATACTTCTATATATACCTTTAAACATACTAAATATACCAGGAACTGTACAATACGAAAGTCATAACGTTGATGTTGTTTTTTATTTATTATTCTGTTCAGTTTAGTTTCAATCTTGAAGCGAAGTAGACAAGTGCTCTGTGGATAGTTGTGAAATAATAAATTTTGTTTTTTCTATTTGCTTAATAATGGATAGAAAAAGTGCGCGGGGGAGCAATAGTCGTCCAGATAGGAACAAGAAGAAACGATTTTCATCAAATCGATTTACCGTTGAAAAAGATTGTAGTTATACAAGTGCTTCCGCAGCAAAGTTAAAAAAGTTTGACGATGAGGAAATAGTTATCAACAAAAATTTTGGGTACTGTCTTCTGGAATTTTTCTCAGTTTTTCAAACTCTCTTAACTTTAATTGTATGTGCTACCTGCAAAGAAGAAATTAAATTTTCTCAAACGTCACCACGCGGTTTAGGATTTAAAATTGCATTACAGTGCAGTTGTAAAAATGTTCAATACATCCAGTTTATCGTTTGACGATTTACTACATCGATGTTTGGGGTCTGAAACTCAAAATAATAATGAATCGCTCAATTCATTAATATGGACTTTTGCTCCCAAGCATATTCACGCTGGATCTCAGACAATTCAAATTGCGAATTATTTAGCTGTTGCCATTTTTAATGAAGGTTATTGACCCATCTTAAAAATAATGAAACTTATGGGCATCACCATTGGTACTGAAGCTCATTCATTTGCTATCAGACGTAACGAAGTTCGGATTGAGCGCTCTGAGCTGCGAGCTTCTGCTGCTTCCAAAGAAGGCATAACAGCTCGATTAGCTGAAAGGACTTCGCAAAACATCGAATATGAAGTAGAAGAAGGCCCAATGTATGGATCTGGGATCGCCGATTAATCCAAAGTAAGTATTGAATATTATTATACGATTTATTCTACTGGAATTGTTCCTCAAACTTTAAACGGGTTTTTCTCGAAACTACTTTTTTTGAAGTGGTTGACATGATATCTCAAGTTATAGCGAACCGATTCTTTTGAAATTTGGTGGTAATTTTCTTTATATATCTCTCTATCGCGTCTGCTATGGATTTTGAAAAATTTCAATTTGGAGTATTTTTAAAAAATTCAAAAAGGTCAAAAAAAAGGGGTAAAAAAAATTGATATTTCATGTCGACGCCATTTTGTGAATTTTTTTTTTTTGGCTGTAGTCAACGCGATAGCGACATCTTTATAGATTGAAAATTTTTCAAATATTTTTGTTTCAGATCACTACAAGAGCTAGAATCATGTCAACCAGGGTGGACCGTTTTTTTTTGTAGCCCCCGCTTCACCAGCCTGTGATTTGTCCAATTTATCATTTTTTTTTTTCAATTTTTTTTTACATTCTTGAAACGTCAATAAACATCATATAAAAAAACCGATAGTAAAAATGTTTTTCATTTTTTTTTATGTTTGAAAAATGCCTAAAATTTAGGCTTCTAGACCAGAATACCCCCTTAATAATTTGATATTGTTAAATTAAATGATTATCATCGCTCAGAACAAGTCTCAAGATTAATATTCGTGTATGATGCCACGTGTATTATTAACTCGTCATTTATAATTCTAATTCAATACTACTAATCAACAATTAAATAGTTAAATTAAATAATAATAACAACGATACTCAAGTTTAAATAATTAAGTAGGTCAGTTCAATAAAATAATTAGTTAGTTAATAGTTATTAAGAGTTTCATGTGTTCAGTAATTTTAACTGTGATATTTTATAGAATAAACGATAAAACATGAATAAAAGTGACAATTAATTTCTTTCCAATATCCCGGTCCAGCTAAAATGAATATTTAATGCTAAGTTAATTTACAGTACGTATAATGCTTTACCTCCTAGATTATATGAGTTAAGGAAAACGCACAAAGTTGGCTGTAAGTTGAGGCTAGTTTTTAGCAATATTGGTTCACCGAGTTATGAAATATCGAAGTTTGTGTATAAAATCTTGTCTCCATATGTTCTGAGTTTTGAATTCAATATGAAAGACTCCTTTCAATTTTTTGAGAGAATTAAGTCTGTGTTAGTGGATGATGGTTACTTACTCATTTCTTTAGATGTAGTTTCATTATTCACTAATGTGAAACAAGACCTAATAACTAACATCATTAAAGAACGGTGGAATGTCATAAAAGATTTTATCAACCTGGACCAAGAACTCCTATTCGATCTTGTGAAGTTTTGTTTTCATTCTGGGTATTTCTTGTTTCAAAGGAATTATTATATACAGAAAGAAGGCTGCGGGATAAGGAGTCCAGCAAGCCCCGTGGTTGCCATCACTGCAGTGGATTATGTGATATCAAAAGCCCTGGAGAGGTTAGATTTTGAGATTCCGGTTGTAGCAGCATACGTGGATGATCTTTTTCTCATTATACCAAAGGATAAAGTTGATACGGTTGTGAATGTGTTCAACTCAATTAATAAAGATATCCAATTCACAATTGAAGTTGAACAAGATGGTAAAACTCCGTATTTGGATGTGTTGATGGAAAGAACAGGATCTGGAGAACTAAGAACTTCATGGTATCTGAAACCATATAGTTCGGGGAGAGTTCTGAACTTCAAATCAAATCATCCTCTGAGCCAGAAGCTAGGTGTAGCACAAGGTTTCTTTAACAGAACCATACGTCTCAGTCATGCGACTATGGTGGCTGTAAGTATTGACAAAGTGAGACACTTGCTCATAAATAACAACTATCCATCATCGCTTTTCAGAGTGTGAGAAAATTCCTAGTAATGGAATTAGTAGTAATTTGAAGATTGATGCTGGTTTGAGAGGGTGGTAGTTCTGTTAGTTTCCCTATATCAAAGGTTTGTCACCCAGGATTGGATGCTTGTTCAGGCAGACTAATTGTAAATTAGTCTTTTACGATTTGTGTCAAATCAAGGATCTCTATAGTCGTCTAAAGAATCCAGTTGATAAGCGGGATAGATCTTGCTTGGTGTATCGGATCCCTTGCACTTGTAATAAACCATATATAGGACAAACGAAACAGAAACTTAAGAAGCGGATTAATCAACACATCAACGACTGCAGGCCTGTCAACATTAACAAGAGTAACATGACGGCATTGACGGATCATCATTTTGAGAGCAGGCATGATTTTCAGTTTGACGCTGCTCAGATTTTAGACTATAAATTTCATTTTCTAAAACGTAACATCAGTGAGATGTTTTTCATCAAAGTGTTTGATTGTGTCAATTTTAGGTCTGATACCCAGGGATTAAGTTCATCATACAGTGATATCATATCGGTTGCCAAAAGATTCATGCAATAATTGTTTTGTGAACTAATGTTTTTTGTTAATTTTCACTTTTCTTAAAAGGCTTTTTCATAGGGGTTTTCTTTGAAAAATTTTTTGTGAAAATTATTTTTTTAAAAAGACTTTTTGTGAAAAAAAAAAAAATTTTTTCTTTGAAATTTTTTCTTTCAAAAGTGATTTTGAAAAAATGAAATAGCAATAATTTTTTATAGGGATTACTTAAAAGTAATTTTTATTTATTTATAAGACATATAGTTTTGTATTAATTAATATTTTTTGAATCATAATCATTTCAAAATTGGGAGTCGGCATAGTAAATTTGAGAAGTACAACTGTTTTTACCATTACAGTTGTTTACGCTTAGTCTGTTACTGTCTGTCTTGTATCTAATTATTGTAATTTTATAACTGATTTTTGTTGACTAATTTATTTAAAAGGAATGGAGATTGACTTAGTTTCTTAATATTATGGTTGTTACGTGTGAGCTTACACTTGGATCTGTTACATCCACGTATCAGATATCCGTCTAGCTCAGGATCTCGTAGAAATTTTACTTAATTATAACTGAAGGGAATGGGTCACTCAGTGAATGAAGAATACTGCGAGTTAGGTACTAATTGTTTATTATGCGTCCCCAAAGCATGGGAGTTACCTTCAATGGTCCTGAGAGTCTCTTTTACAAACTAAATGTTTATTAACTAATTTGATTCTAACTGGACACAATAATTTCACTGATAACAATCACTATAGACTCTATTAATGAGAGGGAGATGCGACAACGCGAGAAGAGGTCTTATTTGACAACTAATACGCGGTACTGATGACTCGGACTCGATATAGATTCTGACAGACTATCAAACTGACTGACTGTTAAACAAGAAGCCCTCATCGTCGTGGTGATCAAGCTTATATATCACCGATCGTGGGCGTTGTCAGGTGAACGAATTACTCCTCCAAACTTCGATTAATACGGGAAAGAACCCAAGTTCCTACTCAAAATTTGATAACGAACTGTTTTTCTGTTCCCTAGTCAGCAGAAAACTATATCACTCCGCCAAGTTCAATACCTCCATATTTCGCAATCGACGGTTGATCGTGAATAAAAGTGTTCTGTCAGCTCCACGTGCCAGTTCGATCCAATGTAAAAAATCGCGTTATAAGAGAAATTCGAACCGAGCTGACTCGATACCGGATTAGGATGATTCATTTCCGCAAAATTTTTTTTTTTTTCGGTGCTCATAAAAAATATCAATCTACATAGAGAAAAAAAAATTCCTACCAAGTTTGAGCTCTTAATATTAATTTTAAGTACTTACAATAAAAGTTTAAAGTTTTACCATTTAGAATGCATGTAAAAATTTTTTTTTTTTTTCAAATTTCTAATGCTTAGCCGGCTTTTACAATATTGTAAATCGGTTTGATTGACCTTGTGGGGAATTTCACGCGCTTCAAAAAAGCCTTTAAGTTTTTTTGGGTAACTTGCACTGGTTCACCGGTAGGAGTCGTCAAAGTACAATTTTTGAAAAAAATATAATTTCTTTTAATTTTTCGAGCAAATCACCAATGGTAGGAAGAAAAAAAGGACTGACTCATAAAAAAAAAGTCATCCAACCAATATTTAATGAATTTACAGCCATTTTTATAGCGGGAAACGTAAGAAATTGATAAATACTAACTCATAATGTTATGTAGATTTATTTTTTCTGTTTATTACCATTAAATTTCCCTACACTACAAATTTTTTTTAAATTATTATGATTTCTCACCCATAATATATATTAAAACAACACAAAAATTAATTAAAAAAACTACAAGAATAAAATTATAACATAGATCTTGCAATTTTTCAATAATTTTTTCGTTTACGAAAAAAAATAAAAATGAAGATTATTTAATTTTTTGTAGCAAAATTCCTAAATTAGTAAAAAATTTAATTTTTCTCATTGTCAACTTTATTCACGCCAACTTTGTATAAGTAGAAATCATTCTTTGAAAAACTGCAGCAAGCAGTCCCAAGATGGCATATTCTATCATTGCTCTAGTTAATTAGCATGATATTACCGTCTCTATTGTCTTTGTTGAAAAATTTGACGCTTTATGGCATACCTAACCTCAAAATAATTTTCTCATTGTTCGTTGTATTAAGTGATTAATCCGAGAATCAATTGACGCTAATACTAAGACAGAATAAGCCAATTTTTCAATAAACTATATTCAATTTACTATTTTAATATCAACATTTCGCTGTCACTTGTGTTTAATGGTATAAATCGTATTTAAATTATTTCTTGATATTCTTCAGTATTTATTTCCCGAGAAAAAATATTTATATATAATTATATATATTTATATATAAATTGGTTATATATGATTATATATGAAAAATGGCCAAATATAATCATATCTAATTATATATAATTATGTATAATTATATATAACTATATATAATTATATATAACAATATTTAATTATAGATTTATTACATCTAATTAATTATTGGGTTAATTTTATGGATAGAGTATTTAATATGGTCCTACGCAATTCTGTGTAACCGATCAAAATGCAAAAAAAAATATCTAGATCTAATTTTATGGCTATAACACCAGCGGTCACCCATCCAACTAATAACCCTACTCAATGCTGCTTAACTGTGGTGATCTCCGTGCGTCTTGAAGTTTCTGTCTGCTGTGCTGCTATCTTAGACAATAATGATTCTATGATTCTATACTTAATGTATCATATGAGTTTATCATAAATATAATAAAAAAATTGATTTTATAATATATTTGAATAGTCATAATTCATAATTTATTTATCTTACCGAATTTCATCATAATATAACACTTATTTAAATAATAAAATAAATAATGATTTTACTACTACGTAGTAGCAGAGCAGACAAAACATCTCATAGGAAATGAGACAAATTTTGTATTTCAGAATTATGTAAACGTAATTATAAACATCATTTTACACTTTTTGTGATTACCAAAAAAAATTTTTTTTTCAAACAAAAAATTTTTATGTATGTTAATTATATATAAACATATATAATTATATATGACTATATATAGAGCAATGTACAGCCAAGCAAGATTATATATAATCATATATAATATATATAATCATACATGATTATATATGAAATTGTATATGAGGTTATTTATAATCATATACAATTATATATGACTATATATAGAGCAATGTACAGCCAAGCAAGATTATATATAATCATATATAATATATATAATCATACATGATTATATATGAAATTGTATATGAGGTTATTTATAATCATATACAATTATATATGACTATATATAGAGCAATGTACAGCCAAGCAAGATTATATATAATCATATATAATATATATAATCATACATGATTATATATGAAATTGTATATGAGGTTATTTATAATCATATACAATTATATATGACTATATATAGAGCAATGTACAGCCAAGCAAGATTATATATAATCATATATAATATATATAATCATACATGATTATATATGAAATTGTATATGAGGTTATTTATAATCATATACAATTATATATGACTATATATAGAGCAATGTACAGCCAAGCAAGATTATATATAATCATATATAATTATATAGAATTATATATAATCATATATAATTACATATAATCATACATGATTATATATGAAAGTATAAATTATAAAAAGGTAAAATGTGTGAATTTAAAAAAAAATCTTCAAAGTTGCTTTAGAACTTTTCAATTATTTACTTTTCAATTCTTTCACAAATTTTTTTTTTAATTGAGAAATTAATATTTTAGAATTTTTTATTAATTTTTATTATAAATATTATTTTTATATTTATTTATTTAATATTTATAAATATTATTTTTTATTATAAAAAATTAGTTTTTTTATTAATTAAATGAAAATAAATAAATTTTACATATTTTTCAAATTACTCTACATTTTTAAAAAACTTAAAAAAAAAATTACTGTTGTAGAACCAATCGGTTACCGTGTTTTATCCGGTTTAAAATTTACAAAAAGTAAATTTTTTTTTTATTTTTTAAATACAATATGAAATTGATTTTATTATTCTTTTTCATGCAATTTTATGCCAAATGAAAAAATCTTATGTGTATGATTTATCAATTTATCATGAAACGTAATTTTCAGTTATTCATTCATGGAGTATTGAAATTATTTGAGAACTTTGGAAATATTAAAATAATCAATGAAATATTTATAAATCTGACAACATTTTAATTAGTTACAAATAAAAGACATCACCATGGAACAATCACATGTTTCGCACTGTCGAAACTAGTATTAAAAGTCTTCGATAGATGGCGCATGGCCGCAGAACTGTTCCTTTCTAGATACTTGACTTTGAAGTGTTAAGTTCCGAAAAGAGTAGAATTTTGGTACTCTATTAATGAGTTTATCTGTTTTTGAAGAAAGTTGTAAAGACAACTAAAATAAATGTTGTATCAACTTTATTATAAATGTAAATTTATTCATCAATTTTATTTAGGCTTCAGGTTTGTCAACATCTTGACATGGCCATATCAACCCTGATAAAGTCTGATATTTCC